GACCCAAGTGGCGTCCCACTCGAGCCTCGAACTCGCGACCTTTTTTATCAGAGTCAAATCTCCTAACCCTTGAGCCACGAGGTCGTTGTCTTGCCGGGTTAAGTCGAGGGATATTGACGGCTAGAATAAGCCAGAAAGGACCATTCCAGTCTCCTTTGTCTTTGCTACCAGTCGTTCCACTATTAGCACTGGAGGTCGAAAACTGATGCGATGATGGCTGGGTAGTTCTCCGCGTCCGATTCATTAATGCTCATGATTTCATCATTCTGATGTTGGCATGCTAATTACTCGGCGATGTGATTCACTGTCACCGTGATGACCGGTCACCCGCAGGCCATCTCAGCACTGAATGTGGGAGCGGACGATCATTGCGTTCTTTTTGACGGACTGCGATCCATGGCTCGATCAGTTCGTGCCTCATCCTGTTGTCACTTTTTGCGAAGATTTTGGCCTCATCAAATGAGCTGTAACCTAGCGTCTTTCCTCCCCAAGACTACTGCGTACTCGGCCATCCGCGTCCAGAGTAATCTCCCACTCCTTTAGCAGTTTTATTCACCTGCTGATCCGATGAGCAGAGCTTCAGGGCAGTTTAACCAGCGTTACTGACGATGCCCACCATGTACTCGACAGCGGGTTGGATGTGCAGGGGCGATGACTTGCATGGGCATTGGTTTTTGATAATAGTAGACTTACGATGCATTCCCCACACATTCCCCCACAAGGAGACCGGAGGTGATTGAATACGCAGGTGGTTGGCGTGGAGAAAAACTCGCGTCACACGTGTCACCACAGGCTCGGTAGCTGTCCTAGGCGCACTTTCTTAATAACGTCCGCCATGCCATAATCTAATCTCACTATTGGTTCAGTACATCTACTACGTGGCCCTTTTGGTGGGCAAACCAAGTTTCATATATTCTGAATAGTCGAAAATATGCGAGGCTCAGGTAATTGAATAGAAGGCAGGAAGACGCTCTCTGGGACCAGTAGTGTATTTGCCCGGCGTTTCTGACTCTCACTCGAGGCCATTGTCAAGGAATGAAAACGTACAGCTCGCTGCGTGATTAAGTCAGCTCTGCCGTGGGTGACCTTGAGTTCCCATTGTTCGCTCCGCCGCGAGTGCGGATCCACTGATTCCATCGGAGAAGGGTGTTTCGGGTGGGCCACAACTTGCCAAAGTCAATTCGCATCGACAGGCACTACACCAGGTAATGTAAAAGACTTTAGCTTGGAGCTGGTCTAGTCCATCTCGGTGGCCTTTGTAGTTTGCGTGAATATAAACCGGCCGCTCAACTTGCTTCTAAACAAGGCAATTATGCATTCCGAATAGACAGGCGTCTTTAACAAGATTGAATAGGAAAAAGCCCTTGCGGTGTTTTGTTTTGAACATGGTCATGTACAACCCATTGGGTGAGAATTACTTGGTAAGCAATTTCGTTTAAAAAAAGACCTGCAGATCATTTCGCTCAACCTATTAGAACCACATTCCTTGATAGAAACCACGGTAGGGTTGCGCATGCGACGTCTGATGTAAAGCACTATTGTGTACACGAGGATCCTTTTTAGTTGGAATACGTAAAACTAGTGCCGCTTGTGCACACATAATCTTGTTCCCTATAGTCGTATTTTCCTGATCGATCTTCATCCAGTTGAACGAGGCAAAGACCACGAGACTAGCTGAATTAAATGACGTCATACAATTTCGTGACCTCTTATTCACCTACAGACGGCCATTGCCTAGTAAAACGATACAAGAAACTGTCCAACTAGGTATCGACCTACAAGGCTGAAATATGATAGGTAAATAGAGCTAGAACTATTGCTCTTAGATGCGGTCGGTCATATGAGGAATGGAGGGGACGTGAGTGGACAGGTTCACGCCCTTTATCTATCAATACCACGGCACTGCGAGGTTGATAACGTGATTCAGCTACTTACAGAGTTCTGGTTTTCTTCTCGGTATTTTAACGGCCTCCGCACAACGCAGGAGACGCCCGGTCGTCGTCCGAACTACGAGCTTAACCGCTACAATCCTCTAGTCGACTGTATGACCAGTGTCCACTAGGTGCTTCGTGCTTGAACTTTTGCGTATTTTATTTTCCGCCCTGAGCAACCACTTCGA